CGGGACTCCCGCGAGCGCACGCGCACTGTCACACCGCCACTCCTGCCCGGGCCTCCGGGACTGATGTCGTCAATGCAGATCAATCTAGAAGTCGCCAGCAGCCGCGCTGTGGGGGTAAAAAGCGCGTGGAGGGCCGAGACCCTCGGCCCTCCCAGCAGTGTGCCCCGGAGAGCAGCCCTGTGGACCACCGCGGCAGCACCACGGACAGCGCCGCGTGCCGCTGGCTGGCTGGAGCCCGACGCGGGGCGCTCGGCGGCGGCATTTGGGGCTCTGGGCTGTCATGGCAGGGACGGGGTCTCGCCCGCTCTGCGGGCCAGCTCGTGAGAGCCCGTCTTGGATCGCTCGGCCTTCCCCCCGCCCACCGCCCCGTGCCCTCGGGCTCGGTGACCCAGCACGACCCTCATCGGGAGCTCGGCACTTGTGGGGACCCAACGTGGGGTGCGTGAGGGTGGAAGCGCCAGCTTAAGCACCCAGGAGAACGTGCCCCGCCGGTGACCTCCTTGTCTCCTGCCTTGGGCGAGCGGGTCTGGGGGCGGGGAGGAATGTCTGGAGGGGAGGGGTGGGGAGGGGGTCTCTAAGAGTGCGTCCTGGCTTGGTTCCCCACCCCTCTCCGCTCCACACGTGCGCGAGAGACTGGCCCCAGCCTCGCCGTGGGCAGGGCGCGGCGCAGGGTCCAGGGTGACCTGCAGGCGCAGACAGATGTGGAGTTACATAAGGGAAGATGAGAGCCCAAGCGGCCCAGCCCGGAGGGCAGCGCTCCCACCCCAGGCGCAGCGACCCCAGGGGGAGGAGGCGCTCGCCAGGTGGCTGTAAGCCCGGCCGAGACCCCCGCTGGATACGCGGTGGGGGCGGTCATTGCTGCAGCGGACAGAGGTCACTGCGCTCAGGCGCAGCCCAGGCGGCAGCTGCGGCAGCGTTAGCGCCTGCCTGCGGGAGGGGAGTGCCGGGGGCTGGGGGGCGGGGGAGGGAGGTGGATGGAGGGTGCATCCCGCTCCAGACACGCGCTCAGATAGACAGGGTCAAGGACACAGGCAGGCTGAGACAATCACAGCGAGACAGACAGACACGCCCACATGCAGACACACAGACACCCACAGCCCAGGGAAAGCCACCCAGCGGCTGGGACCAGCACAGGCAGACAGCCAGGCTGCAACGCCCTGGAGGAAGCAGCTCCCTCTGTAGCCTGCGGTGCACACTCGCAGGAGGTTCGCCTGTGCCTGAGGGAGGGGTAGAGAGGCAGCGGAGCTAGGCTGTCACCCCAAGACTTCCAGCAATTCCTGATCATGGGGGTCCCACCCTTGCCCCTAGCCCCAAGGCAGGCTTCAGAAACTTTGGAGAGTGAAGGCTGGGGGAGCCCCAGACCCTAGGCTCACCCACTCCACCATTTCTGGCTCTCCCAGCCCCAGTGGGGAGCCATTTCAGATGCCTGGCTCTGCTCACAGCAAACCCCACAACCCTGCTGAGCCCCAGGCCCCCCCCCCACCATCCTGCATGTCTGCTGGGACAGGGGGACAGGGACAGGAAGTTCCTAGACCAGGCAGAGGTGGTGGCTGGGCCCTGCTGCCCCATCCCCCTCCTCTCAGAGGTCTCTGCAGCTGGGTCTGGACCCCTGCCTCCTGCCTCCTCCTTTGGCCAGCAGCTCCCTGCTGAGTGGGCCTCTGGTCTCCCCTCCCCCCACAGAAACATGGGGTGACATAGAGGGTAGGACAGGAGTTCTCACATGCACTGGCTGAGGCCCCCTTGTGTCCCCATCCTGGAATGGGGGTTCCACAGTGCCCCGGCCCTGGGTTGAGGGGAGGGCTCAAGGGGGAGAAGGGGCTCCGGACTGCAGCCTTCTGGTGGGAGAGCAGGACTGGAAGGACACTGGGCCAACAACGCCAATGGGACATTCTTGCGGAGTGGTCAGGGGGCCATTGGGGTGTATGTGGGGGGACTTGGACTGGACACTTAAGAGGGTGTACTGGCATCCGCACTGTCCAAGGCCCGGACCTTACTGCCCCGCCTCGCCCCCTGAGCCAGCTGCTTGCCCAGGGCAGTTGCTGCCACATGCTGGTCATTGCTGAGGGACACGGCCTGCTGAAAAGGTCCCACGGGCCAGCGGCAGGCAGCACACAAACTGCTTGTCATGCCAAGGCGCCTCCCGGAGCACCTGCAGACCTCTGAGTTCAGCTCAGGTGTCAGCTCCCCAGGAAGGGCTGTTTGCCTTCTCTCTCTCTGCAGGACTCATTTGAATATAGGAATGCAGAGTTCCGGGGTTTTTTCCCTTGTCGTCCCCCCCACCCCCACCCCCCTGCGCCCATGACATTCTGCACCAGCTCCGGGTGCATCTTGATGAGCTGAGCACCCTGTGTAACTAGGGCGGCTCCCGAGGCCTCTGGTTTCAGGCTGGAAGCTCCTTGGCTTTGGGACGAGGCAGGCATGAGATGGGACTGGGAAGGGGCTGATGTGTGGCTCTCAGATCCTGTCAATGGCATTGCTGTCCTGAGGGCACCGTTGCTATGACTTGCCTGCAAGTGGCAGATTCCACTCCAAAGGGCCTGGGGCAAAGACTACTGCATGTTCCCCACAGCTGGCACCTGTGGGGGGCAACCAGCTTCAGGCACGGCTGTATCCACGAGCTCTGAGTGCGCTACTTCCCTCTCCTGGCATTTCCCTTGTGCTGTGTGGTGTCCGTCCCAGGTCACAGCTACCCTCATGGCCCCAAGCTTCTCTCCTGTCCTCTCCGAGCATCCACCGTCTGGAGTGCCCCATGGACCTCCCCACACATCTGCCTTCGCTTGTGGTCACTGAGGGCCAGGCATTGCCTGGGGGCTCCACAAAGGCCTGTCAAGTGGCTTCAGTGAATTAGTGCACTGTGGCAGGGTCCTTGCTGCCGGGAAAGTGAGCAACAATCCGGGAATTGCAAGGGATTGACACAGGACAAGGACAAAGTGGCCCTCTCACGGTGCCTTCTCTGGGCAGTAGGTTGGGCTCTGAACCCTACCTGGCCGTGTGGGGGCTGGGCTCTGCCTGTGGAGAGCCTCCAGCACCAGGCTCATCCTGATCCCAGCATCAGCTGTTCAAGACAGCCCCTGGGGGTCTCCAGGCCTGTCCAGAGGCAGGGGGACCCAGGGCCAAAGGAAGGGGTGGGAGTGGGCTGGGGATGCTGGAGCAGGTGAAGGTAGAGGATCTCAGGGGACAGAGAGGGCTGCTGAGGGCCTTATGATAGAGGGACTCCGAGGTAGGGCCCAGTGGGGTTGGCAGGTCAGCTGTGCCTCTGTGTGCTCCCCAGGGTGGGGGTCTGCCTAGACCAGAGGAGGGCTGGCTCTGGGGAGTCTGACTCCGGTAAGGTTGTCACTGGCCATGCTGCCCTGCTCATCAGTGGGGAAGGGGAGGCCAACAGCCCCACCTTGACCTGGGATGTCCAGCCCTGCCCCTGAGGGCTGGCAGGTCCCTTCTCTCCCCAGCCCACTCCCAGCCCAACCTCATAGGCACCTTCACCACAGGCCTTCCACCCCCGGGGCTGGCCAGACCTCCTCCACCACGCTGCTAACTCTGGGACCTGGACAGTGTGTGTATGGGGGTGTGTGCTCTTGGATGTGCACGTGTGTGTGCACATGGGGGCCTACATGAAGCACCCTAAGCCAATCTTCCTCCCAGCAGGCAGCCTTTGGGGGATGCTGGGGTGCTCTGGGCAAGGAGGGACTCAGAAATCGCTCCCACCTCTCCATTGGCTCCTGGTCCTGAGGGATCAGTGCCTGTCAACAGCCAGATAGTGGAGACTTCCCTAGGGTCCAGCAGGCACCCCCCGGGAGGGGGTGGGTGAGGTCTGTGCCGTGTCTGTGCGGGCATCGGGTGTGCGTGAAGGCATCTGTGTCTTCTTGTCCATGTCTGTCTGTGCACCCAGGTGTCTGTGGGGCTGAAGTGCATCTCTGTGTACATGTGTCTTTGGGCTTGACCCTGCCTCCCCCACTCTTCCAGCCCTTGGCTCTGCCTGGCACCCAGGCAAGGACCCTCCAGGTGACATCCCTGCAGAGAGCAGCCTAGGATGAAGGGAGGGCCCGGAACTTTAGCCAGGTCTGACTGATGACTCCCAAGAGATGCTGTGATGTCTCAGGTCCTGGCCAGTCACCTGAGGATAGGGTCCCAAGTGAAGATCCAGGGGCTGCTCCCCAGCCCAGCCCTGTCAGCCCCTCAACAAGCTCTCCAACACCTGCTCTCCTTTGAGAGCCCTAAGGACTCTGACCCTGGCCACCCACCTAGTCGACCCCAGCCACCTTGTAGGAAGGGTGTTTGCTCAGCGCCTACTGAGTACAGCTGAGCCTACCGGCAGCCTGGTTCCTGAGCTAGTGAGGGGGTGCCGTTTCCTCTGGGATGTCTCCCAGGGGACCCAGCCCTGGCCTGGGGCTCTGTGCACACTGCCTGCCCACCGACTGGTCCGCCCACCCCTGGACTGCTTGCCTCAGGCATTCCTGAAGCCTGGACTGCAAAAGCCAAGCCTTGCCGCCCATTTCCCCACTCTCAATTTGGGCACCTATGAAAATGAGGGCCCCCCCTTGGCACGATTAGGGGACCAGGGGGTTCAAGAGAGCAAGGATGGTGCAGGGGCCTGTGAGGAGGTCTGGCAGGGGGTGGGGGGAAGGCAGGCAGTGTGGGCCAGACGGTCCAGGCCCAGCCAGGCCTTCACATCTTCTCCACCTGGGCTCCATGGGGCAAGATGGGGTAGACCTGATCCACGGCCACCACCCCCTTCTTGGCTGAGCCCCTCACCCCAGCTCCGCAGCATACTGTGACCTGTCCCTCCCACTGCCCACCCCCATCCCTGAGTATGCACCCTGAGTCCTCAGCTGTTCCTGGAGGAGGCCCCGAACAGCCCCTGGCACCCACAGTCCCCCCTTCTCACTCCCCAGGCACATTTAAACTTTGCACCCCCTTCCCGCCCCCTCGCCTGGCAGTTTTCCGGGCCCCCAAGCCCAGCCAGCCGCTCGGCCGACGCAGTCAGCTTCTGACAAGTTAAATTTATCCCAGACCAAGCTGTCTCCTCCCTCTGGCACACGCGTGCCCATACCCCTCTGGCTTCCTGTGGGTCCACAGAGGGGAGCCCAGCCCCCTTACCCTGGGGCCCTGGAGGAGGATCCGGAAGCCACCGGGGACAGCTGGTACAGTGAGCAGACAGGGCCATCGGAGGACAAGCTGCAGCCTGGGCTTGACCCAGCTGTGTTGCACCAGGGCCCTGGGGCCTGACAGTCCTGCCCAGTGTCCATGCTGCTCTCCTTGTGGTGCAGGGACTCAGGGCCTTATCCCTGGAACCAGCCCTGGCTGAAGGAGCAGGCCAGGGTCCTCAGGGCCCTGAGCAGCTGCAGGGGTATCCCTAGGGAGAGGCCAGCAGACAGGTGGCCCTCCACAGTCTTCTTCCTTTGGTCCCCCATTTTCTTCAGAGTGACAGGGCACTCAGCCTGGCTGGGATGGGGTCTGACCAGCAAGGGGTGAGCAGAAGTGTATCTTTGTGTCCCCAGGGAGGGACAGAGCCTCAGAGGGAGCCACCTTGCTTGGTGGGGTGGCACATTCCCTTCCCTCCTTCCTTGTGGTTGGGATGTACATGTGATGGCTGGAGCGGGCTATGGGGCTGCCCTGAGGTCTGAAGGCAGTGCTCAGTGACGTGGTCAGGCAGCAGCTGGGTCTCTGGTGGTGGGTGCTGATAGCACACCAGCTCTGGACAGCGTCACACATGGGTGGTGATAGCATGTCTGTGTCGTTGCCCTGCTGGGGTTCTGTGATCCCTCACACCTGCAGGTGTAACTAGTTGAAAGGACAATCAAGTTGGCTCAAACATCCCCCCAGCAAAGGAGGAGACTACTCCATGGAAAAGGCCCCCTGTCCCAGTAAGTACTGGGCCCGCAGTAGGCCCCTCTGGTCGCCCCTACCCACGGCAGAAGGAGAGTCACAGCCCCCCCCCCCCCCCCACCATATAGCCCTCTGCTCCAGAGACCGCTGCCAACAGCCTGGTGCTGCAGGGCAGTCCAGCGACACTGTGTGCCAGAGACCCTCAGCCAGGGCCAGTACACCAAGTGCCCGGTAAGTGCCCGACCGACCACTGTGGTGTGCAGGAGGGGCCAGCTCTCAAGGTCCCAGCCCAGGCCGGTCCCAGCTGGACGCTGCATTCCCCTGTTTGCTACCTGCACCAGGGCCCGTGTGGTGACCAGCCTCTGCCCCCGTCAAATGGCCCCAGCTCTGACCTCTTCCAGTGTGCGGGTAGGGGACACTCGGGTAAGACATTTATGAGGAATATGGTGTTGTCCCCCACCCCTTTTCTGGCAGAATTTAATAAGTGCAGATTGTTCAGGTCCCAAAGCCCTGGGAAAGCACATACACACACACACACACACACACACACACACACACACAC